TTTCAGAAGTAGGATAATCCACAGCTGAACTTTGAGAACTAAGATCTTTGCCTCTTTCAAAAAGGACCTCAAATGAAAAACTAAAATCCAACAATGGATAACCCTTGTTGCTATAGGCAGATAATATAGTAACAGTCTGTTCTTAGTAAAACATCAGCATTGTGGACACAAGCTCTACTAGGGCATGTCAGGCAGGCAATGCCTACCATTCTTTTGTTCCACTTGTCAAATGGGTAAGTACAAGCAAGTCCTCATTCACTTCTAAAGACACCCAGCCATTATGGTTAGTGACCCAGAGATTTCTTAAAAGATGTTAGAAAAAAAAAAATCAAATAGTAAAAGTTGAATAGTTTTTATGCTCTTCAACACATAACAATATATCACTTCTTTAATATATACACAGACTCCTTACTGCAAGAGGGAACTGAGCCATACTGTAAATACCTACCCATCGAAGAAATACAGCATTTTAAAAGTTTTCACCAGTAATGTTTTTAAATTGAAAAATCCCTCAAAAAAATTTTCAGCTTTACTGCTCAATACTCAAACTGAGCCAGCAGTTACTAATTTCCACCCCACCCCCCAGTCTCTCCTAGTAGGAAAGCACATTGAATTTATGTGCAGCTAAATTATGGGTATAGCACATGAAATACATCTACAGCTCATCCTCTTAGCATGAGGAGAAAGACTGATAGCATAAAAGATCAATACAAAAATCAACAAAAAGTACAAAACTGTTTTCTATTAATTCTAAAAGTCTTAGGGTAGTTTCAGGTAAGAATTCAGCTATAGTTTTATTTGTAGTAGTGCACTTATGAAAATGTATCAGTCTTACCATTCATACTTGGATACTATGAAAAAATACTTTTAACTAAAATTTTATTAGAATTAAAGATATTTTAAATTCCATCTGTAGGTTGCTCATTCAGTTGACCTCAAATATCTGCATACTTACAAAATTATCTCCAACTTCATGAGGAAAGCATGCTCACAGTTATTGAGTGACAAAATTATGGCAGAAAAGAGACAGCAATTTTCATAAAATTCTCTGTTGGTATATAAAACTTAAATGAAAGCTACATAATAAATTGACCAAAATAAGCCACATCTTTAAAAACAGCTCTTAAATTAGTTTAATAAGTTTTAGATCCGTTCACGTGAATAATTTAAAATGTTTCCAAAAAAAAGGCCCAAAAGTACATAAAATCTTTCCTGTTTAAGAAAGATTCTTCACATTTTTTTCCTGACAAACACCTACACACTACTGCACATTAACAGGCATTTCAGGAAAAAGCATATCTGAATGTAAAGTTACAGATTATAAGCCTTCTTTATGAGCAGATTCTCTCCCAAGGAATACAGTTTTTAAACGTTAATGCTTTTTCATGTAAGTCAAAAGCACTTTTTATTAAATACAAAGAACACCCTCATTCAAAGATCCTGTGTATAAAACCTGCACAACTATCATTTTTTTATGTCTATTTGTTCTGTCAGGGAGCAGAACTATAAAAGATCCCCCAAATTTTTTTCACTCAAGCATGTCTTCCATGTTCAATGGCATTCAAGGAGCAGAATAGCAGGACTCTTACCACGGAAATTAATAAATAACAACAATAACAACAACAACACAAAACAACTAAGTCACAAGGTCATTAAAAAAGAAAGAAAAGGGATATTATAAGAATAAGCAGACTTGTAGTAGAGAAATATTGGCTGGAGATAAGGGAAGAAAAGAAAACACACAATTTCAAAATGCTACTCCTTCCATCAAGGGCACTCATGACATCAGAGAAAGCACTAAGATGCTCCATTAAAAAGGGTTAGAAGGTAAGACAATCTGTTGCTGAGTAACGTTTTCATTACTTGCTTTCAGGAAGGTATTTCAGGAAAATACCTGAATATTTTCCTGAATATTCAGGAAATATTCCTGAAAAATAACCTCATTTTCTTCCAAAACTATTCATTCACATGTTAATGCCTCTCCTTCCTCCCCATGCCACACCTAAACTGGGATTTCACAGGGGCTACAGGTATTTTATCCCTCAAGCTTCAGGGTAGCACAGGTAGCATAACCTCTGGAATTAGTAGTTCTTATTTGTGAAAAAATAAAGTTTGATTTATAGGACATAATGGCTCTGCTTACAAAACTGGGCAAGAAAGGGAATACTAGTCCCTTTTCACCAGTTGCTTCTGAAACCATTTTTAGTAGTTACTTGCTATTAATACACGTGTGTGCATGTATGCACAAGGAGAACAAGTGGAAAGGCTATTTAATACAATTAAATGCAAAATAAGCAGTCCATAAAGCTATCAGCCAAAATACAAGAAGTTTTTTGCGAATAAACAAAAACAGCTAAGAAAAAGACTATGTGGATTTTTAGAAGCTGAGAAGCCAGAAGGCTCTAGACAAATGGAACTGCCACTACAGTGAGTAAGTATTTATTAGAGAAACCTCCTATTCACTCACAATTACTGTACTTCAAATTTCTTCCAGCAATAACAGCTATTTTTGTACCCCCTATGATGGACTCTTCTGCCGCTTGCACAATGAAGATACACTTCCTTCAATTTACTCTCTCTAATAGAAGTACAACCACTGCCCATAAAGCAACACTATCTATATGGATAGATGTGGCATAAGATTTTTAGTTATCTCCTGATACTACAGAAACTATATAATTCTGCAACTTTTTTTCTAAAAGGGTCTTAGGTTGCATAACTTCCCAGGTTTGAGGGCCAAACTCCTGCAGAGATGCGAAAAGGGAAAGTGCCACAGAAAGACAAGGAATCAGTGATTTTTTTTTAAATTTCTCTCCATGAAGACAGCAGCATGAATATTACTTTCTTCATGATGAGTCTTTCCCACAAAACTCATTAAAAGGAGTCTCAAGTGGAGTGCCTGAGAAAATCAGACAAGTCTTAAGAGGAGATTACAGGGTTCTACACTGCTGGAGGAGGCTTTCATTTTGGAATAAAAGCAGGTTACTTTGACAACAGAGGCGTATAGAAGGTTCTTCATCAATATTAAAGATTGCTAGTAACTCATCAGCTTTGTAGTCTTGTTTTCATCCCAAACGTCTCCTCATCTTCATGCAAAGAATCAGAGTGATCATTCTCCTTACAGTACTTCAATACAGCACCAAAGAAAGTGATAGCTGTTGCACAGCGAAGACTGAATGACACCTGAAGTAAAGCAGACCAACATTCACTTGCCTGCATTCTTACATTAAACACAGTCTCCCAATCTTATTCAGCAAACAAAAAAGGTAAAAGAAAAGATATTTGTCCTAAGAAATATTCCCATAAGGGTTCCTACCTCTAAGAAGCATTTCCTATTTTCTGCAGTCTGAACTAGTAACTATGGCTTTATTCTTACCTCCACTACACACCTACTTTGCTATTTTAGATAGTTACACCTCAGTTTTCACAGCTGGGTACTGTCCGTAACTTTTGTGTGTTGCTGTGTCTCATTAGTTAAGCAATTAAGATCTCTGCTTTCCACTTATCAGCTCTTCCAAAATGCTAGTCTAGTGTATGCTGATTATTTACAGCTACTTAGAAAAAAACGGGCATTATACCCTGATGACTTTCTCCAATTAGTAAGTATACAAGCCTTAACATTTTGACTAGACATTCTGCAACTTAATTTTCCATCTCTGAACAAGAATAGACAATGTCATGTCTTGCAAAGAGTTATCACTAAAGATTCCTGGTTGCAGAGCATTCATACCACAGCATCAAAAAAAGGTTCTGTATGAATTGAAAGTATTGGAAAGTATGTTTCCCTAAAGATGGTCTTGAAAGAAGAGCACAAAATTTTGAAAGGTACCTAGCTGGAGAAACACTATCCAGTTTGTGCATCAATGAACATATGATCCTGAATTTCTGAAAGCAAAAGTAGTATTTAAAAAGTATTAAAATTAATCATAACACATACATTCAAGACAATAAAATGAAAGTAATATGGGCATGTTCATTTTGTATTCCCTGACTTTCGGAGATGACTTTTCAGCTTCAGTAGTACTATAGTGTAGTTTAAGCATAACTTTAAAATCACTATTACAAAATACAAGCTGCCTTTAATAGCAAACCATCCCCTGCCCAAAACCATGAGTGTGCATGCAGAAACCAATTATGAGTAGTCTATTTTATACAATCAACTTCTACGTTAGTAAACAACTGAAAAAGTAAGTAACTACACAACCTATGAAAAACTATTCCAGGAATTAAATGAACACTTTCAAGGAAGAGATATCATAAGATTTTTTCCCTAGGGTATAACTTATTTAGGGAAGATTTGTACTCATTGCTTAGTTTAAGCAGCTTCACATCTTGCTAACTGACTATATACAGTTTTGTGAAAGGCACAAAAATATGTGAGAAGTTAGGTATTGCTAACCTCTAAAAGCAAAAAGTGATAATTGGGTCATCGAGGGGACAATCATAAGAGTATTTCTGGGTATAAAAGCATCAAGGAAAGCAAAGTGAGAAACTCAAATCTTAAACTGCATTTAAAGCTAAGCTGGTTTAGAAGTATTTAAGAGGCTTAAAACTAGTGAGCAGCAATATATCCTGTATCAATGGAAGTGAAGTCAAATCAAGACTGAAGCTACTTAAATATCATAGTAACTTTAAATAAAAATATGTGATTATTAGATTAGCAGTTTGGTCATTCATTGTGTTTATTCAAAGGGAACGCACTGGGAATACTCCAAGAATGCTTAGTTTAAGGTATACCCATATGCACACAAACTTCACTGATATTTAAGACTTACTAAGTAGTCCTAGGATTTCACAGACACACTTTAAAGAGTAGAACAAAAGAAGTCTTACAATACTAGAAAAATGTATACATTAACCCATTGACTAGGAGAGTTTTTTTCTGCTTTAAGTAACTAGGGACAATTTATTAAATAGATTTATACCCCTAAATCAGAAAAGTTCTGTGAAAAAGTGATCCTGGATTACATTACAGTAAAATGCATGACACTGCTTTTTACCTCCAGATCCTAGCTGCTTGTAGAATCTGTATTCCAAATGTAGCTGTGGTGCTCTCGACTTCATTGGCTCCTGATTTAAAAACAAAAACAACATTTAAAACAAAGCCTCTCTGCCAAAGCCTAAAAACTAATAGACTCACCACTACCAGACAAAATAACCCTACTGCTTCCAAGACACATGGAAAGTTTGAATGTTTCTTTCAAAATGGCTGGTAAGACCAAGAAACCTAAACCTCAGTCAGATGAGACTAGAGCATACAGGGACATTTACATCTTGTATTGCTCCACAGGACTGGGGTCCAACATGCAAACCCAAGCACAGATCCACAATGGAACAGCTAACAAGTAATTTGTCTCTTTAAAGCATGTGGGTGATATATCTTGCAGTTCTCAAAAGGTGGCACTAATATGCAGCTTAAAAGATTGAAAAGACTGAAAAGACTGTCCATACACCAGCTATACATGACAGACATATCTTTATAAAAAAGAAGTTTTATCCTAGGATCTTGAAGAAAAACAATTAAATCCTTCCACAAAATAGTCACAACTTAGCAGAAATTAAGTAGCACCGTTCTAAACTATAAATCCAAAACAACAAAGAAAGCACACCAGAATAAGTTTGTAGTTTAAATCTTTCTTTTCCCAACATAATTTACATAAGTTAATGAAATCTTAGTTCTGAGTTCTACATACTGATGTGGCAAGTTCTCATAGAATGAAGTGACATGAGATCAAGCACAGGAACACATAAACAGCCTAAATGAAAGCCGTAACATCTTGAGTATTTCCCTTTGCAAAGTAAAGGTACTTTATCATAAGATTCTTAAAAATAATTTCCTAGAGCATCTTTTAGAAGATATGCCTCGTTTCTTGTGATATGTAATGATTTCCAAGGCATCAATGATAATTTGGACATTACCTGTGCATTATTCCTACATAAACTGCTCCTACTATAATCGCAGCACAGTAAGATTGTTAATACACTTATCAGCCATAACAATATTCCTGAATGTCAGTTTTCAGGAAAAGTTTGGGCAAGGTGCTCATCTGTTTCCTCACACCATCTTTTCCAGAAGCTAACACTTTATTAAGGCTGTGTTGTTGCCCAGTAGCACATCCAGGCCATTAGAAGCCACGAGCCAATGTGCAATCATTAGTATCTTAGTCCTCTCCCTCAACCCATCTCCTTTGAACATTCACATTTCAAATGGCTGCTACTCCTACAGCCAAAGTCCCTGTCAGGGTACACTTGATTTTGCCAGGATGACAAAGGTTGAGGCCCAAAAATAAAAACTGGGCCAATGTAACAGTGTGTAAATAGAATTTAATATATGCTTTTTATGCTCCAGAGCATTCATCCTGGCTGAACACTGGAATTTTTTTTTCAAAAAGGAAGTCAGCAAGAACTTTCTAAAACAGAGAGGTGTTGATCCCTCACAAACTGAATTACTAAGCAAGAATAACTGCGACACCAAAAGATCCTACTTACAGTTTATAAGGAGAACACATGAAATTTATTGTCAAGTTGTAAAGACAGATATCCCTTAACAAAACACTTTACTGTAAATGCGGGCCTGAGCAAATCAGTGTAACTATCAATCTTTAGTACTCAGTTTTCCGATGTGTAGGTAAACGCACTATGGAGCGTGTTACTGAAAAGTTTTAACCTTTTACAAAGCCACACACATTCAGCTACTAGTTTGCCTGCAATAGTATTATGCAAGTGTTATCTACAAATTATACCAATCACTACATAGTCTCCAATTAAAGCTTGTAATTATGCCAGTTAAGAGAAGATATTGTAGTTCATCGAATTCCGCATGTCTGCTGAATATACTAAGACATGACACTGGCTCATGGGCAGTTTGACTTTGTTCAATTATATAGTTTTGCCTTAATTGATAGTACATTAACAAAACTTAATCAACCACTCAATGTTAGAAGATGCTCCCATAACAAGGATGTTGTTTTTAATACAAGCTGTATTACAATTATATAAATAATTTGTATTGTATTGTATGAAATTTATATAAATAGGCAAAAAAACCTGTCCTTGGGAGAAGAAACAGCTTTCATTTTTTGACACAGACTTTTACACTTTTTCAAATGAATGCTACTTGTTCCAGTCATCAGCA